TTATATGGATAATGCACATCCATTGGCATCACATATGGTTGTTCAATCACTTGATATAAAAAAGGATCTTTTTCGTCCACTTGAAGATGTAGAAAAGATTTTTGGTCATGAAGTACCATATCTTAGTGCAATTGGAGTATTAACTTATTTTGCGAATTGCACTTGACCCGATATAGCTTTTTCTGTAAATCTCATTGCAAAATATAGTTATACACAAACACAAAGCCATTGGAATGATGTTAAACATATTTTTCATTACGTAAATGGTACTATTGATTTGAGACTATTTTATTCTCAAAAGTCAAGATCTGCTTTAGTGGGATATGCAGAGCTAAATCACAAACAAGATACATGTATACACGCGGAGGAACAGCTATATCATGAAGATCTGTGAAACAATTATTGACAATAACATCCTCAATTCATTCTAAAATTATTGCAATCCATGAAGCATGCCAGAATATGTATGGTTGAGGAACATGACCAATCATATCCAAGTATCAGCGGATTAATTTCAACAAAAGATAGTCCAATAATTTTGTATGAAGATAATGATACTTGTATTGCACAACTCAAAGAAGGTTATATCAAAGGTAATAGGACAAAGCATATTTTTCCAAAATTCTTTCATATACACGAGTTTCAGAAGAATGACGACATCGATATTCAACAAATTCGTTCAAGTGACAATGGAGCTGATATATTTACAAAAGCACTGCCAATATCTACATTCAAGAATTGATTCACAAGATTGGAATGAGTCGACTCAAAAATTTTCAGTGATCAGTATTAGGGGGAGTAGCTGTACTCTTTTACTTCGCTTAGGTATTATCCCATTGGATTTTCCTAACAAGATTTTAATGAGGCAGCATTTATCTTTAATACACCAAAATAACTGTACTCTTTTTCCTTCGTTTTGATTTTTTTGTCTCATTGAATTTTTATCAAACATGGTTTTAACGAGACAGATATTTTATTATATGGGGGGAGTGTTGTAAATAGTAAATTATTGGTGAATGACAATTGTACCCCTTCAACTCTAGATATTATTACTATATGTATCCCCATTCATTCCCTATAAATATAGGACTTTGGTTCTCATTAACATACAAGTCTATTAACTTCTTTGATTGTCTTCTCTTTTCTCTCTTTTCACAACAATATTTCAATTTTTGTACATTTTATAAAAAATTGTAATTGTACATTTTATAAAAAATTGTAATTGAAGAATTCAAAATACACCATAAATTACTCATATTCCAAGTCAGTTGTTTTGTAGAATATAAAGCTATGCATTTTCTGCCCTTCCTAGCCTTCCTCAGGGCGAGATCGGCCTTCATTTGATGCCTCCCATAGATCTTCTGGTTTTCATACTTGTATAGTTGACATACGAAGTCACTCCTAGCAATGTTGCGAACAAAACTTAATGCCATGTGATGTATCTTGTCGTTGATGATAAACTCCGCGTATTTTGTTATGAACACACCATAGTTATGAGTGCAAAAAAAAAAAAATTAAAATTGTTATATTACATCTGAGTGTATAATTGTCATTGCATTCAACACATTAAAAATTTACTACAACAATTGAAAAAGTAACACAACTCAATGACTTTAGCACCCATTGTATCCTTATACCGAATACCTAAAGAGTAGTAGATTGGAACTCACCCGTATTTATCATGTGGAATTTCGGTAACCAAGTCATCTTAACTACTAGTGGATCGAAACCTTGATTACCATCTTAAAGACTAGTTATATCGGGGGTGAGATAATGCGGGAAATATTAATTTACGTGCTTATGAAATATAACACACAATTATATGATACTTACAATCAGTATTCTAAAATGCGCCGCCTAGGCGCGACTCGTGGGAAAAACGCGTCGAATTCGGGGAATGCACGGAAAATGCGTTTTTGGATTTTTTGTTCGAAAATGCGCGCGCATTGTCCGCGCATTTTAGAACAAAAAGAAATATATATATATATTTTTTGGTAACTTTTTTTTTATATAAAAATATATTTCATGCCTTAAAAATACGAAATGCATTATGGCGCTTATTTTTCGTATTGACATGCCTAGACTTGTGATTCTTGATTCTCGGCCTCGACGTATCGCAACGCATTACGCATTTTAGAACACTGCTTACAATATTAGTCAGAGTTGTAAAGACTTAGCAAGACCAAATAATAGTTAATGTTATTGACAAGTGTATGATACTTATAATATGTCTGAAATGTAACGAACCTAAATCACGTTTCATGATTATATAGTGTTTACATTTTTTTGCAAACACGAACAGACACGATAGTTTGTTCTGTTACATATGTGCTACATGGTGTACATATGAAAATTACATATTTAAGCAATAGAAATACTCATGTAAATATGACTTCTTTTCACCTCCCTTTTGCAAGATAATGCATTTAGTGCAATTAAACCTTGTTATGTTAATAGGAGGTGATAACTTGATGACTATTCCGTTGCATATTTTTTAACGTTGGGTAGTTAAAAATAATAGTTTGCTCTGCACCAAAGAAACATGCAAGAATATTGTGATATTCAAAATCCTATTCCAAAATGGGTCCCCGTGAAAGAAAAATGAAATTTTAATCAGCAATAATTATATAAAACGTAATCTTTATTCAATTGGATAAGTTTTTCAGACTCTGAAAATGAAATTTAGAAAAGAAAACACATTTTCTGTAAAATTTTCATTGCCTTGCAAACTGAAATTATTACCGCCACAACCGCTTTCATTTGATCCTTAGTGCACTAGTTTATAGCAATATCATCCATAAAGATCACTCTCCTTACATGATCACTGGCACTTCTACGTGTGTGTGTGTAATTGATATATGTTTTCGGAGATTTTAGGAGAGTGATTCTCGATGGAATCGATTTGGGTGGAATATGAAGAGCCTCCAAATTGGGGATTTCGATATTAATCACCTATGTTAAGGGTTTGTCTGTTGGAGTAAATTTAGCTACCTTAATTATATGTCTATATGATTTGATAGTTTTCATGTTTTGTTTTTACTATAATTTTGCAGTTTTTATGGAGGAAAAAAATCGCGAAGTAATGTTTAAATATTTATTAAAAAACTGGTTTGTGATATAATTTCCACTTCAATTTTTCAAATTTATAGTCGCAAAATTGGGCTGGATATGGGCTGTACCCGAAATGGACCGGAACGTCCGCCTAGAGTGGCCCGACCATTTTTAATGCTTTCAAATAAGGGAACAATACATATCTAAAGTTTTTACTTTACACCATTTCAAAAATATAAAAACAAGTTTCAAATTTCAAAAATTCGATTTTTTAAAATTTTTATTTATGAAATAATAAATTATTAAATCAATTTATTATTACATATTTAATACTATGACCCCACCCCTACCCCCACCTCCACCACCACCACCCCTACCGCTCCATGGACTATTTCGGCTATCGTTCCGGTCACAACTAATATCTGAAAACCGTTACGACGACTATATTAAGGTCACAGATCTATTCAATTTGGTCACAATTTAAAAAAAATTAGGTCACAAATCAAAATTTTATAGGTCACTGTTCGTTCATCGGTCACAAATTGCAATTTTAAAAGTCACAATTTGTTTATCAATCACAAAATTTATAAGTCACGCAACCTATTTTATGGTCACAAAACATCAAATTAATTGGTCACAAAGTTATTTCGAGGTCTCAAATTAAACATTTTATAAGTCACAATTTAATTCATTGGTCACAAATTAAAAAATTATAGATCACAATTTATCGATAGGTCACAATGAACCAAAATGTCTATCACATACACCAAACACCCCACTCCAATCTCGATCCTCCGCCAACGTTTTGGTCACGAACCAACCAAAGAATTGGTCACAAACACTACCCCACTCCCGCCCTTGCCACAACACCACCTAAACCACCACCGTCACCCCCGTCACACTACCATTGCCATCGCCTGCACCGTAACACCAAAAAAACAACCAACCACTGCCACAATAACAACACCGTCTGCAACGACACCACACCTCGTCGAGACCATCACCAGATCTGCCGCCAACAAACAAATCCAATGCTACAGCAACGACCGCCACCCAAATACCACCACCCCCATCCACCACCAACTGAAAACATACGCAAAAACCACATCAATTGTGGAGCTGCAGATCCCGACCATGGCAGACAGATCCCGACCCTGGCGACAGACCACAACCTTCATTTGAACCCAACCAGCACCAGCACCAGTCAATCGTGCGGCGCTGCATCCACCTTCATTTGAACCCAACCAAACCCTAAAATCCTCTCCACTCTCGGCTCTCATATCTTGTAGCCTCTTCATTCTGAAGTAGGCGACGACATTATGAATGTGTGACGCAGCGACGCTCAGATCCGCCAAAAACGCGTCGCGACTTCCAGCATCGCGTGGTGGTAGTGGCGGCATCTTCACATCAGTCCGGGGAAGAGATTGAAGGAGAAGGAGCGCGGCGGCGGCGGCGGCAGCGACAGTGGGTGAGGAGGGAACGGTTACTGAAGAGAATGGGGGGGGGGAGGGAAAGGTTTAAGTTGTAATTTAATTTAGGGTTTGCAGGGGGGTGTATGTATAGATTGATATATAATATTATTATTATTATTATTATTATTATTATTAAATATTAATTTATATTAATTATCAATTAAAACCTGATTTTACATAATTAAACTTGATCCCTTATTTATGAAAATGGGAATATAAAAATCTTTCTAGGGGTAATTTCTACTTCAAATAACCCGATGGATTAAACTGGTTGTACGGGGCCCACCCACAAGAATGGTCCGAAATCGATAAATGCTATATATATTAGAGAAATTTCAATAAAATGAAAGAGAAACAACATACAGAATGCTATGTTTGAACACATTCTTGTTACCAGCTACCCCTTTGCCACGCAGTAATGCTCCAAATTCCAAAACCAAGCCTTCACATTTCAAAACCAGAATTAGAACCCACAAAATGAATTGTTTCCCAGAAGCTCATGATGATGAAGAAACTGAAAATGCATCAAAAATTACAGTTGCATTGCCCCACCATGTGAAAACCATCACAAGTACATCAAACTCATTTGTGAAACACTGTCTCAAACTTCGGCAGAGCTCCTCTTATAGACACTCTCATGGCTCGGTTCTTGTTGTTGGGACTGTTCCCATAAGGTCTGTTTTTTTTTTCTCTCTTTTCGTTAGTCTTTTTAGGCTTATGCTGTCAAATTATTCATGTGGTATTGAGAATGGGTACCTGGGATTTTTGTTCATCAGTATGTCTAAGAGTAATTGGTGCATACAGGTGCTTGTTCAAAGATTTCATATTTTTGGATTTTGCGTTAAGAACCTTCAATTTTGGTGTCTTTGGTTAGAAAATTAGTAATGAGTCGTGTTGAATTTTCTTTTTACATGTTTATGAAGAATTTAAAGGGCATATGGATTCGTTGGCATTGATTCTCGTTCTCCAGATTCGTGTTGTTATGGCTTTTGAAAGGAGATTATGGAGTTAGTGGTGCGTTTGCCAAGTGTTTGTAGGAATTCCACTGAGGAGCAGAAAACTATTGAACTGTAAGATGGATTTTATGTTGTATATCAAAAGTTTAGGATGCATACCGTTAAGAATTGGGGTTCCATCTTAAAAGGTCGACCATAATAAGAGGAGTAGCCCAAACCTTTAAAAATTGGTCTATGTTTTCATCATTATTCGATGTGAGATTTTATCCCTTAACATGTCCCCACAAGATGGTGGGTCGTTTGAGCAGACCAATCTTGAATCCGTATGCTCACTTTTGGCGTCTTAACTGGATCGAATTTCTCGTTAGAGCTTAATGGACTCTGATACCATTTTAAGAATTGAGGTTCCATCTTAAAATGTTAACTTTATTAAGAAGAGTAGCCCAAAATCTTTATTAATTGATCTGTGTCAACATTATTTATCGATGTGGGATATATATCCCTTAACACGCCCCTGCAAGATGGTGGCTCATTTGAGCAGACAATCTTGAAATTCACGTGCTCATTTTAGAGTCTTAACGGGATCGAATAGCTCGTTGGAGTATAATGGGCTCTGATACCATCTTAAGAATTGAGATTCCATCTTAAAAGGTCAACCTTAATAAGAAGAGTAGCCCAAACCTTTATAAATTGGTCTATGTTTTCATCATTATTATTAAAATTTGGGGTTCCATCTTAAAATGTCAACCTTATTAATAGGAGTAACCAAATCTTTTATAAGTTGGTTTATGTTTACATTTTTATTCGATATAGGATTATATCCTTTAACATTCCCCCCCAAGATGGTGGCTCGTTTGAGCAGACAAATCTTGAAATCCATATGCTCACATTTGGAGTCTTAACTGGATCGAATTGCTCGTTAGAGCTTAATGGGCTCTGATACCATGTTAAGAATTGGGGTTCCATCTTAAAAGGTCAACCTTATTGAGAGGAGTAACCAAATTCTTTATAAGTTGGTTTATATTCCATCTTTATTCGATATGCGATTCTATCCCTTCCCAATTCTTAATATGGTATCAAAGCCCATTAAGCTCTAACGGGCAATTCGATCCGATTAAGACTCCAAAAGTGAGCATAAGGATTTTAAGATTGGTCTCCTCAAATGAGCCACCATCTTGCGGGGGCATGTTAAGGGATAGAATCTCACATCGAATAAAGATGCAAACATAAACCAACTCATAAAGAATTGAGTTACTCTTCTTAACAAGGTTGACCTTTTAAGATGGAACTCCAAATCTTAATATGGTATCAGAGCCCATTAAGCTCTAACGAGTAATTCGATCTGGTTAAGACTCCAAAAGTGAGCATAAAGATTTCAAGATTGGTTTCCTCAAACGAGCCACCATCTTATGGGGGTATGTTAAGAGATAGAATCTCACATCGAATAAAGATGAAATATAAATTATCTTATAAATGATTAAGTTACTCCTCTTATCAAGGTTGACCTTTTAAGATGAAACCCCAATTCTTAACATATATTTGGTATGGTGTTTGGACTTGAGAGGATATATGTGTTTGACCTTGTGCAGTCATGCCATATTGTATACTTATCTTTGACAGCGGGTTGACCTAATATTGGATAGTTAGTACATCAATATAGGTATAAGGTCACCTTCATTATAATAAAACCTGCGGTGGTTGAGCGTAGCTTTCACATTAAGGGTGGAGCAACTATTAATCTGCATGCACGCTCTTAGTGATTTCGCTTTGCTCATTGCTCTCGTAATAGGGATTATGGGTTATTTCCAATATCCGAACAGTACGTTTGGTCCCCACAGTATCAGGTATGAAAATAACTAGTACAATTTTTTCACGCGTCTGTATATACTGATGATTGTGATCTGTATTTGATTTGCAAATCACTTAATGCTTTATGATCTGGTAATTTCACTTTAGTTTTTCTATCCAACAGTCTGAGGCCTCGTCTTTTTTCTGTTTGTTTAGACTCTATTAGGTTTATTTGGCTTCTTGTAAAGTTGTAGCATGCCATCAGAAGTCGGAGCTCATCAAAAAATGATAGATGAAAAAATTGATGCTTCACTTTTTGGGATCTGACTCTTGCAAATGTCTCCAGGGAAATATACAACTTTCAAGAAACATTGCAAGATAGGCCTACAATAGAGTGCTTACTTGTACTCGATAAATATGATGTCCCACAAGATATAGCTGATTGTGCTATTCATGTGGTTCATGTCAGCTCAGCTATAATGAGAAAGCTTTCTGGGCTTCAGTCCATTGATTCTGTTGAAGTCATTGCATTGATGAGAATACCTTCAACATTTCATGGTGTCGGCAACAGCCTGAATGATGAAGATTGTTGTAGATTGTTTCCCTTCCCACATCGAATTCTAGTTCTTGACGGAATCCAGGTTTCCTTCAATTAACAACTTTAAGTTAGAGATGTGTAGACATTTGCTAATGGTGCTTTCATTTAATACTTTAGTTGTTCTACTACATGGCTTCTTTAAATAGAAAATAATTGCTTTAGACACCCTACATACATGTCCATGCCTACTGAATATGCAATGAGAAAGGTCACCATACATATATCAAATAGAGCCAGTATAAGATCCTGATTATACGTCAGCATCAGGTGACCTGTGTAATTATTGGCGTTGACCGACTGAAAATTTTAGTAGTAATACTCAAGAAATGGACGATACTTAAGGAATGTTATTACATCTCTAAGAAGTGGAGATACGAGTTAAAATCACATAAATTCCAATTTTGGTAGCATCTACACGTTTGATGATAAAATGTTCTGACATTACATGCGATTTTTTATAAAATATGAAAATGGTAATCCACTGTGTAAAACTATTCATTTTTCAGTTGTCACATAAAATCTGGTGAAATCAAACTGTGAGAGCTATTATGAGAACTACTTCATCACAAGATGCAGTTATTAAGTCTAAATTTTCATACAAGTTTGATCCTTGTAAATTCTCCAGGACCCTGGTAACCTCGGCACGCTACTAAGATCAGCAACTGCCTTTAGATGGGTAAGTAACTATGCTGCATTGTAAGTTTTTGATTTTACACCTTATAGTTCTGAAATTATCAGCTTCTCCATCTCCAACAAGCATTGAGGTGTAAGTAATTAATAGTAATGTATTCAATAATTAGTTGTTGTAGACATCACCTGTTTATTGTAATTTATGTCCCAGCATCCGTAACTCTCGCTTCAGCCATCTGAATAATCTATGGTAGAATTACAAGTTAATCAGGTTTTATTCTCTTTATTTGTTTTTTAACCTGCATAGTTCGAATGCACTCAAAGTGAAAATTTGATCTTCCATTTTCTCAGGCTTCGTTGATGTTTCTAGCTTTTAAACTTGGTATCTTATATTCATTCAGAGGACAGGTTTGCAATGAATACATATTACATAATGCTTTTTATACTACCGTGAAACTCTTGTATTAAAAACAGTAGATTTTAGGTTCGTTCAAATAAATGAAACTCTTAGCTCAAATTTAAGTCATCAAATTTCGGTCAATTTTATTCTTTTTCTTTATTTTCATCTTTCCAAATAGTGAGTCTTGTATAATACTAACTTGAAAAGTTGCCTTTACATCGCCCCTTTTGCCATTTAAAGCAAAGATATTACTATCTCCTTCTTGAATTCTGCTCTTTAGGTTTTTATTTTGTCTATATGGATTATGCTATTGGTAACCGGGCATTTACATGCCCGGGTACAAGGGCGTGTACCTGTAGCAAGATTCTTGTCTATATATATTAAAGCATGCTTGCATTCGTTGTCCTTTGGACAGAACAATTCATGGGAGAGGGGGAGGGGGTGGCAGGAAGCAAAGAAGTAGCTATTGTCCGTTTGAGGTGCAGAGAGCTGGTTCAGCTGGGGTCATGCACCGTGTGTTTAACCCCAAACAGCTGAACCCACAATTTTTTTTTGTATTACAGAGTCAGAACAAGTTTCTAGGTTTGGTATAGGTAAATGGATTTCGTGGGATTCGGAAGTCAGACATCTAATCATGTTATTGAGGAGAGGCAGCATTGAAAATTGAGCCCCTGTTTGGTATAGATTCTTCCAAACTCATTTTTCCTTAAAACTCATTTTCAACCTCACACTCTCCTAATAAAAAATTTTTGCACATGGACCCCATAGTTTTTCTTTACTTTTTAACCACACATTCTCCAATAAAAAAATAAAAAAAAAATTCACTTTTCGTAAAATCTATTCTAAAAAAACTACATCAAAGATGCCCTAAAAGTAAAAGTTATTTATAATTCTCTAAAGGAAAACATAAAAAAAAAAAAAAATTGCATTAGGTCTTGATGCGACAAATATGTAAAGAAACCCTTAAATTGCATGCATAACTTTTATTTTTATTTTTGTTAATTTAACGAACATAAATGGTTTTTCCTACTAGCTAGTATTAGATGCATTAAGAGAGAGCAGATACATGTCACATCTTCCTCTTGAGATTTCTTAAACTGGTTTTCACCCTCATAATGTTTATGTAAATGTTTTATTAATTTAACAGGGTGGTGTCTTTCTACTTCCCGGTTGTTGTGATCCATTCAACGAGAAAGCACTCAGAGCTTCTCGAGGAGCCTCCTTTCAGATTCCAATAGTTTCTGGTAATTGGACTCATGTAGAATCTCTCAGAAAAGAATTTCAAATGAAAATATTGGCTGGCCATCCTGCAGATAACAAAAATTCCAATAAAGTGCAGAGGCTTTCTCAAGATTTTGCAGATTCTGTGGCAGATTTGCCCTTGTGCTTGGTTTTGGGCAGTGAAGGAGCTGGTCTTTCAAAAGAAAGTAGGCAATCTTGTGAGCTTATAAGCATTCCAATGGCAGGAGAGTTCGAATCTCTCAATGTTTCAGTAGCAGGAGGTATATTTATGTTCTTGTTGCAGCCTGAGAACCTTAGAGTTAGTTGATTCCTTCGAAGATGATTCATCCCCACAACTCCCTTTTTTCTGTGTCCCTTAGCTAAAGGCAAGTACTATGCAACGGGTGGGTTGTTGTTAGTACACACATTCTAGAACACGTACTCCAAACATAATCTTCAACGGGAAGGCACCGGACTAGCTAGATGCTGCCATGATAGCATTTAGGCAATTGATTTCCTTTCTAACATGTTATTTGTATATCGAACTCTTGGTCCAATTGTTATATGGGAAAATTGCGGCCGCGGTCCCAAACCTTTCATTTTGTTGCAGATTACACCCAAACCTTTAATTTTTGCAGCCGAAGTCCCAAACCTTTATATGTAATAGCAGCGTCGGTCCCAAACATTTACTTGTTGCGGTAGAAGTCCCAAATCTTTGTACATAATTGCAGCGTCGGTCCCAAACCTTTGTATGTAATTGCAGCGTCGGTCCCAAGCCGTGAATTCCATCCATAAAACCGTTAGTCAACGTTGAAACAGTAATTTTGACTCGGAAAAATTACAGCACC